ACACACACACACACACACACACACACACACACACACGTACATCCAGGAGCTAGGCAGTCCAAAGAGAAACTCAGAAACTCAACTGCTACTGGCAAAATCCAAAGAAAAAACTGAGCAGCTGCCAGCAAAGTAAACATGCTCTATTTTTAGAAATGAGCTCTGCCAGCCAGTGATGATTCAAAAACACTCAAACACACTAAAGAAAACTAAAAAGATACATTGGTGCAGATGTGCACTAACTCCACCCCCCCCCCCACAATTTGTTTACAAAGAATGCATTGCACCACACCCAACTGGACCTGAGGTGAGGGGGCCTGATGAAAGTATTTTTTCCGAACACCTGGACATTTTAGGTATTATGTTATGAGACACTGGCTCTTATCTGAACCTTCTCTTTAAATAGACCTCATCTGACACTTCTCTAGTGCTGGAGGGAGATGCTATCTTATTACAAGTGGGTGGAAGTTTAGGTTCTGCACTGTACCACCTTTAACAATTGGGGATGATGGGCCGGCCTGTGACTCACTCGGGAGAGTGTGGTGCTAATAACACCAAGGTCACAGGTTCGGATCCCATATAGGGATGGCCAGTTTGCTCACTGGGTGAGCGTGGTGCTGACAACACCAAGTCAAGGGTTAAGTTACCCTTACCGGTCATCTTTAAAAAAAAAAAAATTGGGGATGATGATTACTTTATTTCTGCTTCCATGTGACCTCCACTGATACCCTGAGAGATGATTTTCTTGTTAAAGTTGGTAATAGTCTTGAGTCTCCACTAGTCCTCCTCTAATGCCACCTCGGCCAGAGTGAGGGGGTGCCTCATTACTATCAGGTCTTGGTGAATGTTCAGGCTCCACATTTGGTCTCCATTAACACTGCAGGTGGGAGGTATCTTGTTATTGCTCAGTGGGGATAAAAGTCTTGACTGCTCTCTTGTCTTATACCACTCTAGTGGGGTAGGGTAGAGGTGGGAGTTGATGCATTTTGTTACATCCTGGTGAGGAAAAAAAACCTAGGCTCCCTACTTTTCTGTACTGGCAGGGGTGGAGTTGGGGCCACAGTTTTTTCTGTGTCATTTGACTAGAGTAGGAGTGTTATTATATAAAAGTTTTCTGCCTTGCCAAGTGCCCCTTTCCTGGTCCTTTGACTTGAAATAGGAAGCTTTTCTTGGGGCTTTTCTGCTCCACACTTCTTGGCATTTCCAAGTTAACACTTCTTCAGCACCAAATCTGGAACATAGGAGGCAGAAAGAAAACCCAGGGAACTCATTTTGCTATTATTCCTCAGGTCCTGGGGCCCTTAGCCAATCTGCCTTCTTCTTCATAGTTTTCAGAACTTTCTAATTTCTTAATACATTCAATGTCTAGGGTGCTTTTTAGTACTTAAAGAGAGATATAGGGAAAAAAAAAATCTCCATTTTTTCCAGATGCAAAAGTCACTCATTTAATTCTTTTAATTTTTATTTCTTTGACTGAGCATGAGGATATTTTTTTCAGATGTATATTAGCTATTATTGTTTTCTCTCCCCTTTATTTCCTGCACTTTTTATGTTCATTTTTCAATTAAAACTTTAAAATTTTTGTATTAACTTATAAGAGCATTTCATTAATGGTACAACCCCAGTATTAAATTCCATATGTTCCCCAGTGTTAGTCATTTGCTTTTTTAATTTCTTATAATATTTCTAATGTACAGAAGTTTTAAATTTTTAAGTAGTCCAACCTGTCATTCTTACTTTATTTTTTTTATTTATTTATTTTTTAAAGATGAGCAGTAAGGGGATCTTAACCCTTGACTTGGTGTTGTCAGCACCACGCTCAGCCAGTGAACGAACCGGCCATCCCTATGTGGGATCCGAACCCGTGGCCTTGGTGTTATCAGCACCGCACTCTCCTGAGTGAGCCACGGGCCGGCCCCTGTCATTCTTACTTTAAAGCTTCTGTGTTTTGTGTCTTATCTTCCCTCTACCAAAATTATGTAAATATCCACTTAATTTACTCTGCTGGCTTGAAATTCTGGCTTTTGCAAATGGTGGATTCTTATTTTTATTTGTCACAAATAGGGTTATTTTGGTGAGTTACTGTATAATATACAAAGAATAAAACATACCTATCTTAAACATACAGTGCCATGAGTTAAAGCTAATTTCTTATACATACTTGGCTCTCTTCCTATACTTCGTATTCTGTTCCTTTGATATTGACTCTTTTTAAAAATTGTTCAGGATAGCAAAGAACCTCTTGAGATCTTGTACTGAGATTTTTCCTGTCCTTATGCAGAGCAGCTGAAAACACTTTTAAATGTTAACACCTGGCTGTTAAGAGTCAGCAGGACCTTCACCAGTTCATTAATTGTTAAGTGTCTCTGATAGTTTCCAGGCCCAACACAAACCAGCATTCTTATTAGGAATTAGGGTTTGGCCCATAACATTGAAATGTTCCTACCAAAACAAAGATCCTGATTAACACTCATTTTTAATATCAGAATCATACAGATTTCAAAAACCAGGGTCTTGCAGAGGTCTACAAAAAGTGTGACATCTGTTTGGAGATTAAGTATGGAAACAGATCAAACCAAGTTAAGTCCTGTTATAAGAACCCTGAATTATCACTTCCCCTCTAAACTTCCCTTTGGGGGAAATACTGAATACATTTCTCTGAAAGACAAACAGAATAAATAATATCATACTTTGCCCTTATTACCAGACTCAGGTCTGGCTGCCTGCCCCTTTGAAAAGGAAAGAATAAAACTCAGAAGTCAAATGGTTGGTATTAGAAAAGCAGATGTATTCAGCTGAAGGGGATGGTAGGCTATCCCATCTCCAAGATTTATATTTACTGAGGGGTTTTAAAAGGAAGGGTTGAGGGAATGCAATGTGGGAGGTGAAAAGCAGGAGAGCAGGAGATGTGAGTTATAAGGGGTCCATTTCTATGCATCAGGTACAAGCTCTCGCCAAGGCCTCATCTGGTTTCTGTTCTCATCTTCACTGTTATCTCAGAACCCTGCAAGGTTTTGATTCGCTCCAGTGTACTTGGCTAGTGCCCAAGGTCAGCTTCCGGTCATTTGGCCTTGATCACTTCTCAAAACTCTACAAGTCTCAAAGAAAGAACTGTTAGCTTTGCAAAGTACTAATTAGCTCCTCGGCCTTGTTTTCCTACTTAGTGAACGAGCAAGATAAGAAAGTCAGGGGATGGGAAGCCAAGAGTGGAGAGAAAAAACTATCCTTTTTAAAATCCTTGCCCCCTCTGCAGCCCAGGCAGCTTTAGGTCCCAACATGGCTTCAGTACTGTTCACTCCAACAATTCCCCACTGTCAATAGTTCCTTCCATGTCTATGGAATGGGCCGCTGACTCATCTGACTGCTTCAAGCTGTTTTCAGGGCACAGTAAGGGTTAATGTGGAATGGAACTATTTGACATGATGGAGGACATACCTTTTGGTAGGTACCCAGCTGGAGTGGCGTGGGGGATTAAGGGCATTTGTTTATCTATTGTCTTAACAGTTGATTGACAACAGGTGGCTTACTCAGAGTTAGCAAGCTATACATTAATTGATACATCAAGAATTTTAAGACCTTACATGAATCCTTTGTTTAGGAAAAGGATGTCTCATCCGAGTCATGAGCCTCCTCCTTCAAGTTTATGAAACTTTAGAGAACTTCTTGTGTAGACAACACATCATTTTCCCCTTTTCGATCAAAACATTCCTCTTGGAAGCATTGAAGATCAATTTCTTGATTGAAAAGTTTTCACGTGGGGCCAGCCCATGGCTCACTTGGGAGAGTGTGGTGCTGATAACACCAAAGCCCCGGGTTCAGATCCCATATAGGGATGGCCGGTTCGCTCACTGGCTGAGCGTGGTGCTGACAACACCAAGTCAAGGGTTAAGATCCCCTTACCGGTCATCTTTAAAAAAAAAAAAAAAAAAAAAGAAATTCTTCCGAGTTGAGTTTGAATGAATTTTATAATGCAGGGCAGGAAAAGATAGGCTATAAATATAACAGTGAGGGGTCCTAATATTGGCCATACCCAGGTGAGAAGTGAGCCTTGGAAAAAAGAGGAGAAAGGATCAGGGTGGTTGGGTCTGAGGCTAGGTTGGCGAGTTTAACAATATTGGTTTTTACTAGTCCTGATTTATTGATATAATAGCAACATTCTTCCCGGAGGAAGATGCGAGTGTCGCCCTTTTCTGCTGTGAGGAGGTCTAATGTGTGCCGGTTTTGTAGGGTAACTTTAGCTAGGGAGGTGATTTGTCTTTGTAAGGCAGATAGAGATTCAGCTGTGGAGGTGAGGGCCTTTTGTAGTTTGCTATTAATATCTTGTACCGCCCATAGAGTATGTTCCAAGGTCCCGCCCTACAGGCTGCCTGCAACAATTGATGTTGTTAAGGATATTCCCACTAGGACTGGGAGAGAGGCAGCTCGACACTGTCTTGGGGTGGATGGT